CCTGGGGCGAACATAGTCGATGGTCGATGACTCTTCAAGGTGAAGCACCCTCCTAGAGAGCCGCCGGTATTCAAGACACGCTACGTTGCTAGAGGCTTTAGTTGGCGCGAGGGTGTTGATTTCTTTCAGACATTCGCCCCGACCCCGAAGATGACCACTCTTTAGGTGCTGCTTTACGTAGCAGCACAGCACGACTACGAGCTGCACTCCATTGACTTCTCCACAGCGTTTCTCCAGTGCAGTCTCCATGAGCCCCTGCGTCGCCCGCCATGTTTCTCTAGCACTTTCCCTCCTGACACCCAATAGTTCCTTCGGCGCCCGGTTTACGGTCTGCGGCAGGAGCCTCCGTAGTGACATGACATGTTGCGTGCTGCGTTAGCTGACCTGCAGTTCTTTTCACCCTCTACTGACCCTTTGCTCTTCGTTCGCTCAGGCCAGACTCCGTTCTACATCCAAGTCTATATAGAGGACGTGGTCTTTACTACTGTAGACAGAGACGCATTGGCCTTATAGAAGGCCGAGCTGCTGAGGAGACACACTTGCACTGACGTAGTAGATTTGCACTGCTACCTTGGGCTGCAGATCTCCAGGGACAGAGCAGCGCGCACCATCACTCTCACACAGTCACACTTGGTGTGCCAGGTCATTCAGAGGTTCGGCCTTCAGTTCTCCTCCGCACAGCCTACACTCCTGCCAGTAGATTACAGGCTCTCAGCTCCAGTCCCTGACGAGTCGATTGAGCCGAATGGTCTGTACACAGAGCTTGTGAAGTGCCTCATGTACCTGACGACTTGCACTCGTCTACATCTTGCATACCCTCTTAGTATCATGGCTCATTTAGTGGCGACAGGCAGACACCGACCCCAGCACTGGTCGGCCGCTAAGAGGTTTTTGCGCTATCTAGCAAGTACATCGGGCATGGGGCTAGTGCTAGGAGAGCACATGCCATTGGTTCTCATAGGGCAAACTGACGCTTCGTGAGCGGACGTCACCGAGATGCTCAGGTCCTCCCAGGGCTATTGCTTCAGCCTTGGCGCAGGTGCTATCTCGTGGAGGTCCACCTGCTCGTCGTCTATTGCCTAGTCCAGCAGTGAGGCTGAGATCTACGCCGGTACCATGGCAGCACAGGGCTCCACAGGCTGACTTTCTTGCTCACAGACTTAGGTGAGTGGCCTAGCTCTACACCGGTTCTGTACGCTGACAACATGGCCATGATCTTCCTGTGTTAGGAGCCTCGACTAGAGGGCAGAGCGAAGCACATCTAGCTGTGGTACTTCCTCCTACGCGAGCTACAGCAGCGCCACCAGGCCCGTGTAGTACACTTGGCCTTCGGTGCCAACACAGCTGATATATTTACTAAGGTGCTTGCGCCTAAAGATCATCTGCGACACTGTGTACAGCTTGGTCTAGTTCCAATTGCTCCTCACTTGTTAGCACCCTGATTGTGTACTACTCCTTATATTATCTTGACTGGCCTTTGGCTCTTGTTCTAGTGGCTGGACTAGTAGTACAGTCCAGGGTTACTCCTGTTTAGTTTGTACTCTTGCTGACTGGTCTTCAGACCTTGCATAAGAGGTTGGACTAGTAGTGCCTCCCGGAGCTGCGTGTCACTTGCCAGGCACTGCCCCTCATCTAGCCTAGGGGGTGTGTCAACTTATACATATATTGTATATTATACATGTAGAAGTTATAGGCTAGAAGGGTTCGTGCTCTTAGAGAGTACAATACCCAAGCATTTATTCCCTTGAATCCCTTCTTTCTACTCAATGCGTTATTCTGAGAGGCATGCCATATACATGGCAATGCCTTGGGTGCAACACATGGGAAGGAACAGGAGCAGTGGGCATCACCAAGAAGTTGGGAATGTACCTGATGATGAGAAAATTGCAGCAGCAGAGCCTGATGCCCCTCACCATGCGCTTACTGTTGAGCCTGCGGGATTCAGGGGGCAGCAAGTGACAGCAAGACATCAAGGGAGAAAAATGAGCTTGCTGGGCAGCAGGGGAGCAAAAGGGAGTGCAAGGCAACACAAGGAAACCAACTGGAGCAGAAGTAGGTGAGATTGCCTCTCATGCAGCAGTTGTAAGGGAAGGGCAACGGTATAATTTGACGCTGACAGCAAGCAGCTGAAAACAGCCACTGACATCACCTATCAGGGCAGCATTATTGGGTCGCTTGAAGCAGTGCGATGTGGCAGCAGCATGCTGTGCAGCCTGGTGCAGCAAGGACAGCTGCCGGCGGCAGCGCCTGGCACCTGAAAGGCAAAGTGGAATGGGTTATTTTAAGACTGGCAAACTCTACTACGACCAGTTCATTTGTTCAAGTTTGCCTGCACAGCAGGGCTTGCACAAACGAGGGGGAGTGAGGCAAAGAGTTTGCTATATGACATTGGTATTGGAACGACTCTGGCAAAGCAATCATTGGATAATGCAGCAGCTAGAATCACCTGGTAGAGCCAACAATAGAATGTGCAGTAGCTGCATCTGCAAATCGTGAGAGCGTGGCCTTGCGTGGTGCAGCATTGTGGCTGCTCAAGTGCTCGTGTCATTAGGGAGCTCACCCACGAACAAGCAGCAGGTGCAGTGAAGTTAAGCAAGAAAATGGGATAAGAAACGATGGCGAACATGCGACGTTCCCTCGAAAATATCTCTGCCCCATCCCTTTGTGCATTCGGTATGAATCCACTGGCCCTGCACAAAGGAGGGGGAGACAGGGCATAAAGGAATTATAAGGAGACATGAGGGGACCAGGCAGCTGCGGTGACATGGTGGCAATGCATGGCAATGCAAGCAGCAGTGTCTGACCCGCCAGCAGCGACCATGCAGGTCCAGCAGCCAGACTTGGAGGCAGTGGAACTTCTGGTGCCGTATGTCCAATCCCCTTGGTAAATTGGAATCACCTGCTTGGGATATCGCAAACAGAGAAGCGGAATGATGTTCGAGGGAGCGCTGGAAAGTTGGTAAGGGTGGAAATGAAAGGACAGCTGTGGCTGCGGCAAGGAATTTGCAGCAGCAGCTACAGCATTACCATTGTATCATGAGGTATTGGCAGAACCCTGCCGTGCGCTAGCAGGTGCGCTGTCTGGCAAGCGCACTCAAGGGTAGAACTGGCAGCAGCAGCTGGCTTCGCCATGACCCCAGCCATGCATGCTCTAACAAGTTCGAAAGGCATTGGTAGCTGCAGGTCGCCCCTTGAGCTAGTATGTCGACAGCACAGCATGCGCCACGGAAGCTGCACTTCACACGCAGCAGCAGCTCGGTATGCAGCAGCAAGGTTAATAGAACATCAGATGGGGAGCAGAAACGCAAGGGTATGTTAGGGCAGAACTTACCTGTGCTTGATACGACGCTGCCGTCAAGAGTCGCGGAAGTTGCAGCAGGAGGAGGACCTCTGGAATGGCCTGGAAGATTAGTCCGGTTGAAATGGTAGCCGAAGTCGCTGAACAGAGCCAGCAGCTACGCGATTCAGTAGCAGTCGTTTCCGTCTAGCGAAACGGCTACTACTGGTTTGGCATTATGGGTATGGGGTGTCAAGCACTTTGGAGTGCATTATGCCTCTCTTTGAGAGGCTAGAGGGGCTCTTGGAGGAGCCTAGAGAGTAGTACAAATGTTTATATTTTTTCGTTCAGCAATCAACCATTTTTTGTTCAACGCTTCTGCTATGCTGCATAGTTCGATTTCCAACACCAATAACAGCTCCCGTGACTACAGCTATTAGATAATCACAGAAGCAATTTGGCCAAGCGCAAGGGGATATAATTTAATATACTAATGTAACCAATATGGGATACTCTTGACCAATATTGTGACTGTTTGAAGGCTACGATACAAGTACAGTTCATCCTCTCTGCCTGAATAGGTCATTGCACTCTTTTGTCTTCCTCTGCTCGAGCAGCATAGGTACTTGTGATCGACGTGTAGCTAAAGGCGCCAAGCAAGCAACGTGATCGACGTCAGCGTGAGCCACCATGGCGTGGCGGCGGTGCCACTTGTCCCTCCCACAGGTCCTCGCAGTCTGACACCCGCAGCGCTTTGTCCTGAATGAAGGGGTATTAGCTTCTGCAGTCAAATCAGCGGGGCAGCAGTTTTCTTCTGCCGTCAAGCACGTGTGAGTGCTGTTTTGGAGGCATTTTAGAGGTTTGGAACCAAATGGCACATAGACGAAACCAATCATCCCATACCGCCGCCAAAACGAAACATTTTGCTTTAGCTATGGGCGCAAAATTGAGCAAGTAGGCTGTCCGGGGCAAACAAGATATAACCCATAGGGGCCCGCATGCCGTTTCGGTTGGGTAAACCCTAGACTCGGTGATGGGAGTTTCACGTGATGGTCTGGTACATGGCTCGATGTCGACGTTCGACTGCTTCGGTAAATTCGCGACCTATCATAACGCGCCTACTCATCTGATGGCAGAAGCAAATGTGAGCCCCACTAATTTTACTTTAAAAGCTAAATCCCCTTGAATGGAACCTCTGTTGCACCTCGGACCTGCGAATCGGCGCCAGATAGGGTTCAAAACGCGTTTCTGCGACCGCCAGGTGCACATGCGACACGATATCCTATCTGACAAATAGCGATGCGACGCCAGGGTGCTCCAGTATGTTGGGGTTGCCACATTCGTCATGTCTCGCTGATTCACCTCGCTGTTTCGTTTGGCTCTCGTGTGCGAGGGCGCATGCGAACTCCAGGGGAAATCGAGTTTCGCTCAGCTCTGACTGACGACCCTTGCGACAATCGCGACCAGTAATAAACCCACAATTATGACGGCATTGATGTTACACACCTGTCCCTCACCCCTCCCTCGTCGTGCTGCTCTCGCTCCACTCTCACAGCTCCCCTCTCCTCTCTCGCCTCCCTCAACTCCGGCTCATTCACAAACGCTACAATTCGTCCTCAGCGGAGCCTCCTCGGGCCAAGCTACACCCACTTTTCCCCGTGGTGTGACCCTCCCTGTCCAGAATCATAAGGGGTTGTCGTTGGTTTTACGGCAAGGCTGCTTGACGTTCACTGTTTGCGATCAGCCTCGTTGGGTTGTCGCTTTCACAAGTCATCAGGAATTCGGTTCTGTGACCGCCCAACGTTCCCCCCTGCGCACTTCCTGTTCCTAGGTTATCTGCTTTTTCCATCGAGCAGTTTCTTGACGTAGTAACCGCTTAGACCCTCCATACTTCAGCTGGACACGAGACAACTTAGTCCCGAACCCGTTCTCCTCACACGTGAAAGTCCCCTTCTTTTCCAGTATTTTGGTCCCTGAAGAACCTCCTCACAACTTATCGCCCGTCGCGATGGGTATATTCCAGTGGTGGGAGCGGCCAACGGATTTCCCTCGTGTTATTAGCTGGGCCGCGAAGTTTCCCAGAGACCGGTATTCCCTAGGTGACGTCATCGCCAACGGATCTAGCGGCGCCGTCTTAGAATGTACCGACAAGGAGACCGGCCAGGGGCTGGCCTGCAAGGTCATGCTTAAGAACGCGCTGCGGACAGAAGCCGACAAAAACGGGCTGCGGCGCCGGCTGGAGATTATGAAGCAGGCCGGCACGCACCTGAACGTGGTGTCACTCGTGGGCGTGTTCGAGGACACGTGTGCAATCTACGTTGTCGTGGAGCGCTGCTTGGGCGGCGACCTACTGGAATACATAAGCAAAATGGGCGCGATTCCCGAGCCGCAGGCGGCTATCATGTTTCGGCAGCTCGCGTCAGCCGTCGCGTTCTGCCACGACTATGGGATCCTGCACCGCAACTTAAAGCCCGAGAACGTGTTTTTGACGTATGGGACGGCGGACGACCTAAACTACGCGTCCCCCGCGCTTTCCTCCTGTAGCTCCTTCTCTTCCTCCTCCTCCTTCTCCATCTTCTCCCCGTCGCTCTCCGCCTTCTCCACTCCGCAGGGCTCCCCCGCGCGGTATGCGAGCGCTTCCCCCTCCCCCTCCGCCTCTTTCAACCCCCCCTCCCCCGCCCCCTTCAGCAGATGCGCCGCCGCTTCCCCCGCCCCCTCCAGCTTGCCCTCCCCCGCTGGCACTTCCCCCAACCTACCCCTCCCGTCCCCGTCCGCAGCGCCCTCCACCTCTCGCATGCCGACAACTGACGCCAGCCAAAATCCAAATGACGTCACGCCTCGTGAATCCGGCTCCGCGACCCCCGATTCTTCCGCCTCTTCCGCCTCCTCCACCTCCGCCTCCGCCTCCGCAGCCGCAGCAGCAGCCGCAGCAGCAGCCGCAGCTGCAGCCGCAGCAGACGCAGTAGCTGCAGCCGACGCAAGCGACTCGGTCCTCCCTTCCTCGACACCCGCCTTTTACGCGTTCAACTTTCAAGGGCCCTTCGTGCGACTGAGCGACTTCACTCTGGCGACGCGCCGTCGCAGAGGGTCGTACGTGAGCGGCACGGTGGGTTCTCTGCCGTACAAGTCGCCAGAGATGATCGCCAAGGGTCGCTCCAACGAAAAGGCGGATGTATGGAGCCTCGGAGTTATTCTCTACTCCATGCTCTCGGCTCGATGGCCCTTCTATTCGCCTAAAAAGGCGGTTCTCGAGCGGAAGATCCTGAATGGCCACGTGGACTTCTCCGGCGATCCCTGGCCGTCGATATCTGACGACGCAAAGGACCTTGTCCGTCGGATGCTGGCTGTGAACCCAAACGAACGGCCGTCGGCGACGGAGCTTTTGAAGCATCCATGGGTGCTGAAGTTTCTTCTAGAAGCAGCGGATGCGGAATCTCAGGGGGGCGCTGGCGCTTGCGCGGCAGGTACAGGGGTTGGCGGAAGCGGGGGGCTGGCGGTGGCGCAGCAAGTGAAGAACGGGAAGTTATCGGGAAGGGAGGTGACCGAAGAGGGGTGGCACTGTAACGAGAAGCTGGGTGTATGCGACCTACACCTACAGGTAGCGAACAACTGCTGGATGATGCTCTCCAAGATGATGCCAAAGATGACTTGGTGACGGTAATTAGGGTATTGAGGGGGGCGTGGGGGTGGGGGGGCGGGGGGGAGGGGAAAGGGGGAGGATGGACGAGCAAACGAAGCTGAAATGCCAGGACATGAGGTGCTATTGGTGGGACCACATGCGCCACTCACTGTAGGCCTGTCGTTTGTGCCCAAAGTATTCTAAATCGTGTACATCTACGAGGCAATCCTCACTTCAAGCCTGGCGTTCTATGGTATTTATTCATTTTTGGCTCCAGGCATGCACTTCTACGTGAAAGACGGATGCCTCCTACATCCTATGTACCATGTGTATGCTCACTGTTGTACCATAATCTTGACAACTTTTGAGATGATTCCGAAGATGCTGTTTTACAAGAATGTAATGCAATTCACCTTTCTACGAATTTGGAAGAGCAGGGGCATACAGACACTGCAAGGCCTACTCTAGAATCCTTCTCTTGGAGGCCTCCTGTGCAAGCTACCAGTATCTAGTAGGTATGAGCGAAGTCGACTATCCAAGCAGACCATACATTGTTTACAGCACCCTAAATGCAGACCTCCATCTACCCATGTAACAATCACTGGATCAGAGGGTCTCACTCTTCTCCAGCTTGGGCGTCCCACACGACGTGCCTAGCACCTGCTCCCGCTTCTCATTCAATGACTCGCTGTTCGTCCGTGCAAGATCTAGAGTCACCGACTTGAGCTTGCTCTTACCCCGCCGCTCCTGCACTGTTTTTCCTCCTTCCCCCATCCCCTCTCCTCCGCTTCCTATACTGCTGGAACGACTGAAAGCGCCGCCACTGAAACTGCTGCAGCTGCTGGGTCCCTCCCACCCTTCTGAGAAGCTGTCAGCAAAGGAACTCTCGTCTCGTCGGCCTCTATCTGCTGACAAAGCGCCTGTTGATTCTGAGTCGTACCCCAAGCTCCCTGCTGAGCTGGATGACCGTGTACGGACAAGAGCGGCTCCAGATTCGCTCTTAAGTCTTTTGTCCCGGATGTTGAGAAAGTCCGGGTCCGGGTCGTCGAATTCTATTTCGCTGGAGAATGAAGAAGGTTTGGAAACCCTAGTCTTCACGGTCAGTCTTGAAAACTTCTCGTCTAGGTCTGCGAAGTGAACCTGTCGGGACTTTCTTGGAGCGCAATGGCTGCAGAGAAGAGGAGATCCTGAGACCTGAGTAATCCGCCGGGGAACAATGTTAGGCGAAACGGAAGGTGAGGACGCAGCCATGACTTTTTGCTCCTCTCCTCGACCTCCTCGACGAGACGGCGAGTTTTCGTCGTCGTCGTCGTCATCGTCGTCGTCGTCGCGCTCCCGTAAGTCGAACTTAAAATGCTTCGGTGCGGGAAGAGATTTCGCGGAGCGTAGCGATGAGGTGGGGAGCTTGCATGAACATACGGCGCATCGGCGTTCCGCAGGGGTTGATGACGATGGGAGAGAGCTATCAGCTGATGGTTGCAGAGTATTATCGCCGGATGCTTCTGGGTCAATGTAGAGGTTTGTCGGAGGATTATCGCCGGAAGAATTCTCCATTGTGAAGGCTAATGTGACCTACCAGCTTCGTTTCGGTCACCTTACCGTCTCCTGCTAATCAGCGCTAGCGTCAACTCCAGTGTTCAGGCAATAAAATGCTGCAGTAGCTGCGAAGACGTGTCAATACGAGGCGCGGTAATCTTGCAGCACAGGAACCTATGGAGGAGCTGCTCTATGCTAAGATAAGTTTTCAACTTATGGAATGACCTCACAAGCCTTGACCTGGCCACTTTGCCATGAACACACGACGAGAGGAAGTAGACCAATGCTCTCCTCCTCGTTCCTCCATTCCTAGGGAGGGGTAGAGGAAGCAAGGACAGCCATAAAACCTGGGGGGAATCATGGGGAAAAACATGAAAGAGGGGAGGTTGGTGGTTTTTGGGCGGGCCGGGGGGAGCTGGGGGGAGGGGGAGACTGGAGGGGTGGGGCAAAGAAATGCTGGCGGGCGGGGGGAATATAGTAATGATGGAGTGCGGTGATGCTGGGGTCGGTTCCTGTTTTCGCGCATTGCTTGGTTGGTTGCCACAAGAACGAAGCGAACGGCTGAGATCAATGGGGTTAGGGCATGCGCGAGCAGAGCTGCCAGTACTTGCGCAACCTGCTCTCGTAAACAATCTTATGCAGGAACTCGAGGGATGGTGATTGAACATTTCGGGCAAGTGAAGAAACCCGGCTGTTACAGAAATAGCCCTTCAGAAACACAAGGAAACAGCGATCAGATTCTTCCAGCGTCGTCGTCACCTACACTCCTCCAAAACATTCACAAAGGCTGTAACCATGCTTCGTGGCAACACGTCATTGCTCCTCGGCTGTTTGCTGTCAATGGGACGGGGAAGCGTGTTGGGGGGGGGGGGGGTCCAAAGCAGCATTTGCTGGAATCTGCTCGACCTATCAACGTGCATTTTGCTTGCGGCACCACTTTCTTCCCTTTTTTCCCGCAGCGCTGTCCCACAAGTTAGCATTTCCGCCAGTCCCAGAAGTTTTCCGCCAGCTACACACAGCCCAAGTGGTTTTCCCCCATCTCGCCAGCTCCTCCTTCCCTCTCTGCTTCCTTCCCCTCATTCCGTTTTCCCTTCCTTCTGCGAGCGGATCGGTCGGAGGGGGGAAGGGAGGGAGGGGTTTTCCAGGCTCTGGAGTTCGCCAGTAAGGGCGTGTGACATCCGTCGGGGAACGCCGAAATTCGAACGATCACGAATCACAATAGAGTGCGAACAGTCTGCCTCGGTATTCGTACAACCATTCGGACATCAACAAAAACTTAGGGGCTGCGCGGTGTACCGCCAGGACACAACTTCGAAATTTGTATGTTCAAACGGTTGCGACAACATGCCACAGCCCACACTTCGCCAGCATGCCGTCGCGCGCGATGTCGAAGCTACTTTTGGAGATCGCTGCCTTTCGCCAACCTGTTGTTACGCGGGAGGGAGTTCCGTTCGAACGGAACCTGCCTGACCGTTCGGATGGGCCCATTCGAGCGGTCTGTGTCCTCTATTTTCCCGTTTTCTGCGACAGCTATTCGAGAATTGACGAGATTTTGCGCGAGTTTTGCAAAAATTGTAACCATCTCAGCTGTTAGATTTTTCCCCGTGTTCGGAATCGGTTATCGCACGCCCTAACACTTCCTTGTCTTCTCCTCTCCCCTCACCAGTTCAAACCGTTTCCCACAGCAGCCCTGACTCCCCCCACCACCCACCGTGCCCCCCCTTTTCCCCGCAGTCTCCCCCCCCAGCGGTGCTGCGCCTGAGAGCTGGCTGGGCCGCTCCACTCCACTCTTGCTTGACAGTCTCAGTCAGCCAGCAGCTAGGTCCACATGAAACCCTACTCCCAGAGTGGCAGCCAATCAGCAGGTTGCACTGGTTCTGCCCTGTGGTATTCACGTGCATCTGCAGGCTCTACCCTTTTAAAGTGGTTTTAGGGGTGTTCCCTGGAGGAGTTTCAGGCATACATTGAGCTGAAGTGATGTCCATGGCTTCTTCGCTAGAGAGACAGAAAGGGAAAGGCAAGGCGACCTCAGAAGATGGCTCAACGTCGTCAGCTCCTAGCAGGAAGCGAGTGCGGTTCGCAGGGGGAGGTGCAGAACTTTCAGTAGAGGATTCATTTGCTCCAGGGTCAGGCCTTTCTTTCACCTCCGGCCGAGTTTGTTCATTGGGAAACAGAGGTCGTTCGCTAACCAGCGCATCGTCTAGCTCAGGAAGATTGGCAACTACAGCTTTTTCTAACCGTTTAAATAGTACGGGGGAAGCGGTTGATGAGCCTGACGGAGTGGGAAAAGGGTTGTTGGAAGGCAGTCATTCAGATAAGCAGATGTCGTCAGCTGACATTTCAGGACGGATCGTGATGTGTGACCAAGACATTTCGCCTGCCGTGCCGACGGATGCATCTACGTCAGGCCTTGGAAGCCGCCAGACTGCTGTACCAGCGTCTTCTCACGAGCAAGTCTCGCCTTCACAATCTTTGGAAGGCTCGGACCCTCCTTCATCCATATCCTTCGAAGCAAACGCTCCTGTGAATCAGGTCTCGTCTCATTTAAGCCATGGCCTTGCGCTGCAGCTGCGGGACGATCCGACGGACCACAGATGGAGCCAAGACAATGCAACTTGCGTCAGCACCGCCAACGACGAAGTTATCAGTCCTCACAATGAAGATGGCAGAGGAGGCGATGGGAAGCCGCATGAGGTGCGGAGTGTATCAATGAATGATAGCTTGATGCAGCAGATGGAAGATCTGATTTCTATGGTGCCGAGGCTGCAACTGGAACGGAGTCGGAGCGAGATGGAGATCATTATGAAGCGGAAACACGTATTGGGCTCGTTTCTGGGAACGCCTAAGTCGGGCAAGTCGCCTCAGATTGTCCTTCCCAGGACCCGAAGTTTTTAAAATAAAATATCGCATCAGCTCAGCATCCACTAGCTTACCTACAATAGGTGGGACGTAGGATCCAGACGTACTAGCTCTCTTGCCCTCTAAAGGTTTTTAGACCTCTACTAATTAGCAAAGGTTGTGTTTAGTTCATGGGATTGCAGCTGCTAGGGAAAGCGTACTGTACATTAGTTAATAAATCTTTTAATTGATTTGGACATCATTCACGTACCCTGAGGATTTCTTTCCGAGGACGTGGGGGTTATTGACACATGCTGCTGCATGTGGTGCTAGCATGTAGTGCTCGTTAGAGCGTGTTCCTACCAGCTTCTTCCCAGGCAACCTCTTCCCAAACTAGCACATCTCGCCTGAATCAAGCCGAAGCCAAGCCCAACCTCTTCCCAGACTAAGTTGTCGGCCTGGGATGCGCGCGACACTGTACAAAGGGTGACTAGGCAACTGTGCAACTTGATGTGAAATGTTGTTGAGCTGCCCTTCAAACGAGTGCGTTTCGTTCAAACTTGATTCCGCGGTTTGTGCTGACGAATAAAAAACCACACAAACGAATGCGACGGTTCGAATTGCAAACCAGCGCTGACAACCAAAGGACGGTCGATTCGTGAGTTGTCAGCTTGGTTGTCTTGAAACTGAATAATGATTGAGTAGTGAGAGAGTACCAGGCCTGTCGTTATCAGGGTATTTTACCCTGATTTCCTGATTTCACAGGGTATTTTTTTTGCCAACCCTTAATTTTCAGGGTTGGGCTTTTTTGAACCCTAACCTCTTCAGGGTTGTATGTCTGTGAACACTGAGAATTTCAGGGTTTGCGTTATCCCAACACTGAGTTTTCAGGGAGTAACGCGTACGAACCCTGAGTGCGACATCCATGTGGCTCACAATGCGGAAATTTAGGCGAAGTCCCCAATCTCCAGAGACATTCCCCCCCACACGCAACAACCTACAAAAATTGGTGAAGTCCTCAAACATTCCCTCACACACCAAGCAACCCACAAAAATCGGCTAAGTCATGTGTCGTACAGACATCCCCCCTACACACTAACAACAACCCACAAAAATTAGCTAAGTCTATGAAAATGTAACGGTCAAGATCGATTGCGATCGTTTCAACATACTTAAACCGTTAGATGGTCACATTGATCAACGTCCAAGATCTCCCAGCCGGGGCGCTGCTAGGGCGCGAATTTTCTCCGACCGCCCTATTACCCAGCTTCCCCCCTCCAATCCACTTCGATTCCTCCCTCCCCTCCATTTTCGCTCCCCCCACTCCCCCTCCGTTTCGTTTCCCCCCTCCCCTCCATTTCGATTCCCCCATCTCCCCTCCGTTTCGCCCCTCGCATCTTGGTTTTGATTCCCTCCCCCTTTCTTCCTTGGTTTCAACTCCCCCTCCCCTCCGTTTCGATCCCCCCTTCCCCTCCGTTTCGATCCCCCCTTCCCCTCCGTTTCGATCCCCCCTTCCCCTCCGTTTCGATCCCCCCTTCCCCTCCGTTTCGATCCCCCCTTCCCCTCCGTTTCGATCCCCCCTTCCCCTCCGTTTCGATCCCCCCTTCCCCTCCGTTTCGATCCCCCCTTCCCCTCCGTTTTGATCCCCCCTTCCCCTCCGTATCGATCCCCCCTTCCCCTCCGTTTCGCTTCTCCCATTCCTCGACTGTATTTCGAACTTCCCCCACCCCCCAACCCCCACTTTTTCCCTCCCCGTTTCGCTTCTTCTCTTCCCCTATGTTTCCATCCTCCCCCTTCCCCTCCGTTTCGCTCTCCCCCTCCCCTCGGTTTGATTCCCTCCCCTTTTTCCCCCCATTTTTTATTCCCCCCTCGTGTTGAAGGCAACCCTGAACGCGCTCGGTGAACCCTGGGATTTTCAGGGTTCCAGATTTCTGAACCCTTACAAATCAGGGTAGGCAATTTTTGAAACCTGAGCCCTCAGGGTAAACTTTTTTTTTTTTAATTCGACAGCTCAGGGGGGGTTTTTTTGAAACGTCAGCCCTGGAGAGTACAAGAAAATATACCTAAGCGTTGTACCCTCTAAGAGGTGACCCTATACAGTCTATGCAAACATAACAGATACACATGTCTGACACACCCCCTAGACTGCATAGGGGCAGGTCCTGTACAAGCAGCTCAGGGCGGCACTACCAGTCCAGCCACTGAGACAAGGGTCTAAAAGATCAGTCAGAAGGAGTACAGGCAAGGCAAGATCAAGACCAGGGCGGCACTACTAGTCCAGCCACTGGGAGAGGACACAAGTCCAGTCTGACTACATATAAATATATATAGGACAGTACAAAGTCAAGGCCCTAGCAAGTGAGAGGCTACAAGAACTAGACCGAGCTGTACACAGTGCCGCTGATGATCTTTAGGCGCAAGAGTAAGGGGTCTGCGGAAGACGGAAAGAACTGCAGGTTAGCAAGGGTAGCACGTAGCGAGTCGTGCCACTTACGGGGAGCCTGCCGCAGGCCGTAGACGGGACGCCGCAGGAGCCACTGGGTCCCAGGAGGGAAGGTGCCAGTAAAGCCCTGAGGGCGACGCAGGTAGACTTGCTCGTGTAGGCTGCCCTGAAGGAAGGCAGTGGAGAAGTCGAGGGAGTGAAGCTCGTAGTCACGCTGAGCAGCTAGGTGTAACAAAACCCGAAGAGTAGTCATCTTCGGGGTCGGAGCGAAGGTCTGGAAGTCCACCCCGTCACGCTGACTGAAGCCTCGAGCCACGTAGCGCGCCTTGAACACAGGCGGCTCTCCAGAAGGGCTCTTCACCTTGAAGAGCCAGCGGCCATCGACTACGTTCACCCCAGGCGGGGGAACTGCGTCGACGAAGGTGCCGGTGGATCTCCAAGATGCCATCTCCTGCTCCATGGCAGCTATCCACTGAGAGGCCCAAGGTCCCGAGGTCGCCTCAGCGTAAGTGCGAGGGGTCGGGATGTCGAAAGCGTCTGGGTCACCCTCAGGGACTAGCAGCATGGAACAGAGATGGGGAGCAGCCTCGGACAGGAAAGCAAGCTCGAACTGGCGGTCCTCCAGAACGTCACTGACGAGGGCAGGAGCACCCCCGACAGACGGAGGACAGGCAGGGTCAGAGACCAGAGCGGTGGCGTAGTCAAGGCGGCGGGTAGAGGCGAAGTCAGCGACAGCAGCGACAAGAGCGTTAAGACATGAGACCGGAACGGACGGGTCGGTAACGAGAGAGGCGAGGACGCGAGGAACAAGAGGACTAGCGGCACGAAGGTAGTCAGATAGAGGAGGAGGCGCAACGGTAAGAGAGGACGGAGGAGGCGACGGTAGAAGAGGAGGACGAGACGCATGGGAATGGAGCAACATAGGGTGAGAGCGCGCGACAGGGGATACAGGACGAGCGCGGGAGGGACGGCGGGACCAGACGTGAGACGGAGGCGTCGGGTCAGGAGACAGAGGAGGGAACACAAGGGGGGAGCGGGGGGGAAGGCGGGCCGGGGACGAGTCCGGCGGAGGGAACACAGGGCCGTAGACAGGAAGAAGAGGAGATGGAGGGGCAGGGACGGAAGGCCGAGCAGGCGAAGGGCTGACACCGGCGGGGACTGCTGCTGCGGTGGCATACCACCAACACCGGGACCGCAAGCTGCTCCTCGGCTACGGCCAGGACACTCCACTCCGGCACCCCCTGCAGGAACACCCCCAGAGCCCGAAACCCCTCGAGCAACAGTGCCACCCCCAGGGTCACCGGGGCAGGCCACAACAGGAACCGTAGAACTAGCACCCACCCCAACGCGGGCACCCCCAGAGTCGACGAACTGCTGCTGCGACGGCGGCGGCGGCGGCGGCGGGAACGACGGGTGCGGCGGTGACGGCGGCGGAGACGACGGCTGCGACAGCAGGGGCGACGGCGGCTGCAGAGGCTGTGGGGGAGGAGACACCGGGGGAGAGGCAGACGGCGATGACTGCGCCGCAGGACCACCAGAGTCAGAGGACTCATCGACCGGGACAACCGACGGGAGAGGGGTGACGTGGGACACACCAGAGGGGGCAGGACGGGGAGGGGGAAGGGGGGGGACAGGGACGACCGGGGAAGGACTGACCAGGAACAGGGGGGGAGTAACCGGGGGACCACGGTGGGGGAAGCGGCGGTAGAAGGAGACGGACTCATCAAAGGTGACATTGCGAGAGTGAAAGAACCGGTGAGACGGCAGGTGGTAGAAGTGCCAGTCGGACGCGTCAAGGGGGAAGCCGAGGAAGACACAGGGAAGGGTGCGGGCAGTGAGCTTGCTGTGCCAGAGGCACGAACGTGAGCAAGGCACCCTTAGACGTGGAATGCAGACGTGTCACCAGGAGACCCGGTCCAAAGAAGGGTCGGCGAAACCTGCGGCTGTTGGGGGTGCGGCCACAGGTTAAGCTGGTGAGCAGCGTAGCGCACGGCGAACGGCCACAGAAAATGGGGTGCACCGGCATGGATCATGGAGGTGCGAGCCACCTCCATGACCAAACAAATGCGTCGCTGAGCGACCCCATTCTGCTGTGGCGAGTCCGGCAAGGTGAACGCATGGGTGAACGCGCACGACCACCACCAGCGCCAGGCCACCCGGGCGGGAGGGCACTCACCTGCCTCGTCTGCGGCGGCTGCTGCGACTGCTGCTGCTGCTGCGTCTGCTGAGGCGGCTGCTCAGCTGGACCTGGCGGAGTCCCCTCGTCCACTCCACCACCAGACGACCCGACTCCACCACTACCTCCACTGGCACCCCCACCACCTCCGCCGCGCCCAGCCTTGGGGCGGCGGCCCGTCCCCGGACGAAACTGCGCTGCAACGGCGGTCTCAGCCACAGCTGCAGAACCATCGGAGAAGGTGCACTGAGCGGGGGCACAACCCTGAAAGATAGGGACCGGCACTGTACCGCTCGCCTGAGCGATAGAGCGGTGGCGGGTCTCAATAACAGTTAGGGTGACTACGAAGTCTGTGAGGGTGAGGTCACCGGGGTGAATGCTCAGTCCACCCCGTCACGCTGACTGAAACCTCTAGCCATGTAGCGCGCCTTGAACACAGGCGGCTCTCCAGGAGGGCGCTTCATCTTGAAGAGCCAGCGGCCATCGATTACGTTCACCCCAGGTGGTGGAACTGCATCGAAGTAGGTGCCGGTGTATCTCCAAGATGCCATCTCCTGCTCCATGGCAGCTATCCATTCAGAGGCCCAGGGTCCCGAGACCGCCTCTGCGTAAGTGCGAGGGGTCGGGATGTCGA